GGAGGGCCGGGGGGCGGGCCGCGCCGCTCTGAGAAAAGCGCCGGCCAGAGGGCCCGCGACCGGGCCGCCTGGGTGAGCGTGCCGAGGCGGCTGCGGCGCAGGCTTCCAGGTGGGTGCGGGTCCCCGGGAGGAGCGGGAGTCCGCGCAGCGGGCGGAGGACAGGAGCCCCCCCACCCCAACCGCGCAGCTCCATCCCGCGAGCGGACGGCGCTGGACCCAGGGGCGGGGCCCGGGCCCCTCAACTTTTCCTGGACCTAGGGCGTCGACAGCGGCGGCCTGACGCCCGGGACTCGGTCAGAGTGGGGAACCCGGACCTAGAAGGGGGCTTCCAGGAGACAAAGGCTGTGACCGGGGGCCGTGGGCGTGGGCCGGCGCCTCTGGGGGCTTTGTGCGGACACGTGCATCTCGCGTTTGTGGGTCTTTGTGAATTTGGTCCGGGGACATGCATCTGCCTGTGCCTTTGAATGTCCGTGATTTGAGGAGGTTGTTTTGCGCCTGTGTCCACGTTTCGTGGGCCCGCGTTTGGTTGTGAGTGCTGGTGGGCGCATCGTTGTGTCCGCGTACGTGGTCTGTTCCTGTCGACGTGTCTGGGTTGGGTGTCCGTGGAGTATGTGCGCGCCGAGAGCCAGACACCGCCCCAACTCCTCGCTCCCCTGCTGTCCACCCGGGCCCAGACTTGGCTTCAAACTTTTCTCCCGGTTCCTCGGCAACAGCGCCCGTCCTCCTCCCCCCTGCAGCCCGGGCGGGGGGCTCTGGCAGCCCTCCCCTCATTCACCTCCAGGGGTCCTTAGAGCCGCGAGGGAATGGGATAGGATTGGTGGCTGGGGCAATCGGCAGCGCCTGAGGACTGACCCGAGCCGAGGCTGGGCAGAGCGTGCCGCACACGCCAGCCGAACCGGCTGGGAGGAGAAAGGTAAGCAGCCGGTCCTGGCCCCCGATCGGGGGCCGAAGAGAGGAGAGGAGCGGGCAGCTGGTGTTGCCCGCGCCACGCTCCTCGGAGAGAGTATATGTGCCCGAGAGAGATGTGTCTGCTTGGCGGAGAGGCCAGCCACTGCCCCCGGCCCCGCTTTGAGATCCGTTCTCCGTTTGTATCCTGCCCCGGGCGGGGGGTGTCGAGCCCTCCAATCCCGTAGGTGAGAAGGCGACGACGGCTGCCCGCGGCGCCGGCTCCCGGGACCTCCAGCTGGGCTGCTGGGAGGAGGGACCTTGCACACGCTATAGATTCGAATGGGATGTCCACTGGCCCACAATGTGGCACTGGGCAAGTTGCTCAGCCTCTCTGAGCCGCAGTCACCTCGTAATGGAAGGGGGTGAGAACTCCCTCGAGGGGCAGAGCGTGCGGTGGCGATAACCAACGCAGGCAGGGACGGCCTGAAGTGCAGTGCCCGCCCACACTTGGCCTGGGTGAGGAGGTGACTCAGGAGCTTCTGATCCTCCCTTGCCTGCTCTACCCTTCGGATAAGTCCAGACTTGCAGAGCTCAGGTCTGACCTGAGAAGGAGGGCTCCGGCTGCCGGGAGCCTCCTTTTGATCCTGGGTGGCAAAGATAACCCTTTAACACCTTCCCTCCCCTGCCCCTACCCCCCACCCACCCACCTCAGTCTTTAACCTAGAATTTTGCTTGATGCTGCAGACGTGAAGGATGGGCGCAAGCCACTCGCCTCACCGTGGGCACTTTCCTTTCCCTCTTTGGGCCTCAGTTTCCCTCCTGGAAAGGGAGGTGCTGACAGCCTCTCTCCTCCCTTCCTGTTCTGGCTGACTGGTTGAGATCCTAGAACCTGGAAACACTTTGATATTTAACACCTCCATTCTGACTTGACCAATTCCCAGGCACTAATTTGCTCTTTTGAAGAGGGAGAGGGGAGGTGGCTTTGAAGTTAGGTAGGGATGAAGTAAGGTGGGCTGGAGCCCCTGCAGCCCAGGAAGGGAAGGCTGGAAAGCAGCAGGCTGGGGAAGCCAGGTGAATACACCTGGGAGGGAGGCAGGAGGTATCTGCCACAGAGGGAACTGCCCTGCCTGGCAGTTCTGTGTGTTCTGAAACAGCGCAGGGGTGTTCAGCATTGTGGACTGTCACATGCAAGGTTGGAGAGGGAGGGTTGGAATTCAATTTGAGGCTGGGAAGGAAGGCAGGGGCCAGATATGAGGGCCTTGAATGCCAGACCTAGGAGCTGGGATTTAGGCAGTGGAGAGCTGCTGGAGGGTTTTTTAAGCTGGCATGACAGGGTGGGGTTGATAATTCTAGGAAACCTTCCTCTGGCTTGTGGGTGGTGCTGGAGCCTGGGAGACCAATCTGGAGGCTAAGTGCTCCAGCCTCTTAGAGTCAGAAGGAGATGTTCACTTATTTCATTGCTTCCTAGCTCTGTGGCCTTAGGCAAGTAACTCTACCTCTCTGATTCTCAGTCTCCTCATCCTTCAAATGAGGTTAGTAATTCCGGTCTCACTGATCTGTTGTGAATGTTAAATAGGATAATGAATTACATGTGCTAATAAAATGAGAAGAGGTTTGTAGTCTGTATTACATCATGCAGACATTTGTTGGACTGCACTGACAAAAGAAGGCAGAGCCAGCATCTACTATGGTTCTAAATTTGATATCACCCCCCCTCCCCGGGAAAGCCCTAAGTGTCCTGCAAGCTTGGACCACTGGTACCCTCTCCTAAGCAGAGGGAAGCTTTTTGCCTAGGACATTTCACTCATCTGGCTTATCCCGTTCGCATGGCCAGGCCCCACACAGGAGAGGAGATGACCGGTCAGATTTGGAGATGGCCACACAGCACAAAGTGTATCGTATCTTGACGGGGCCACTGGAGCCCAGGGAGAGGGTGACCTTTTACTGGATGACGGGCAGGTTAGACTGGGAAGACCTCACAGAGGAGGTGACTTTTTTTTTTTTTTCTTAACATCTTTATTAGAGTATAGTTGCTTTACAGTGTTGTGTTAGTTTCTGCTGTATAACAAAGTGAATCAGCTATGTGGTTGCCCACTCTCACCACTGTTATTCAACATAGTTTTGGAAGTTTTAGCCGCAGCAATCAGAGAAGAAAAAGAAATAAAAGGAATCCAAATCAGAAAAGAAGTAAAACTGTCACTGTTTGAAGATGACATGATACTTATACATGGAGGTGACTTTTGAATCGAATGAGTGAGAGTTTGCATGGAAAACAAAGAAAAGAAGGGTGTCTCTGTCATCTTCATCCGAGGGAACAGCCTGTGCAGAGATGTGGGGCCCGATGAGTAAGATGGGCCTCTAGACTGGCAAGCTGTCTTTGCAGGATAGGTTTTAAACCAGGAGCAGTGATGGGGTCCTGGTCTTCTGTCGGGATTGTACTCTGGTGCCCAGCACGGCCGGCAGTTGGAAGCAGAGGGCCAGGAACAAGGCTGTTGGAGCAATCCAGGCCAGGAGGTCTCCTGAACCTGACCTGTGCAAGGTGGGGGTGGGGGGTAGGGAGGGGGAAGACAGTGAGCCACCCACCCAGGGGTAGCTGCTGAGTCTCATTCTGTCACAGGTGACACAACTCTTTCAGCCTGCTTTGGCTCTGCGACCTTTCCAAACTCCCTTACCAACTTCCTGGTAGAGCCTGGTCAGTGCTTGTAGCCCAAGCGGGACCCTGGATGGTGCACTGGGAGAGAATCCAAGGAAGAATCCATTTTGTAGTCTTCTCTATCCTCTGCCCCTGCCTTGCTTTCAGGTCTGCTGGTGTCACGGCTCCTTTTTCTTTCCTGGCTCCTGAAATCACCCATTAGGGGGCAGGAACCCACATGCAGTGAGCACCAGTGTGTGCCAGGCCCAGGGCTGAGTCTTCACTTTACCTTGTGTAATCATCCCAGTGGCCTGCTGGGAGCAGTACTAGGTTTCTCACCATGTTATAGATGAAGACTCAAGACTCAGAGGGGAGAGGGCCTCCTGGCAGGTGAGGTATGGTGGGGCTGGAGCCTGGTGTGCCTGACCGTGAAACCCATCTCCTCTGCTCCACACTGCCTGCCTGTGTGTCCACACATGCCTCAGACCAAAGGGAACTTGCGAAGCTTCAGAATGGAGAAAATAGTATTGGGAGCCTTGTCTATTTCCCTGTAGATTATCCTCCAGGGATGATGTCACGGAGGAGGCTAGGCACTCGGTGTCAGAACGCCTGGACTCTGAGTCCAGCCTCTGACCTCACTGGCTGTGTGACTCTGGGCAGATCACCGAACCTCTCTGGGTCTCTACGCAGATGTAAAATAGATACAATGCCATGTAACCTGCTGATCTTGAAGGGTGACTGAACAGATTAAGAGTTGAGGAGGCATTGGGAAGGTTGAGAGGTATCCTTTGGCGAGGTGGTAGTATTCTAAATGCCTGGTATATCTTCATATAGTACCTGCTCTGTGCTAGACCCGGCACTCAGGCCCAAGGACATAAAAGTGAACCTAACCCCATTCCTGCCCACAGGAGGACAGGCATGTAAGTGTAATTATAGTCCACGATCCACACATGCCCATTTGTAAGTTGGGGCACAGCCATCAAAGGAGCATTGGATTTGGAGCTCAGACATGTAGGTTTGCAACCTGGTTCCTGTCCTCCTCAGCTGAATGTCAGTCTGCAAAACAGGGACAGTAATCCCCATGGTCAAGGGTTGTGGTGAGGCAGAAACGAGACGGTGCTGTAGAATTGCGTGGCGAGCTGACGTGTTTGTACAGATGTGCGGCATTAGAGCTTCTGCTGGGGGAGCCGACCCGCAAGGCTCCGGGAGTTTGGCCCTGACATTCTTTTTGCCTTGCGTTTCCAGAACTCACTAAGCCACTGGGGGCCAGGACGTTAATGGAATTTCCACCTGGGGATTTCGTTGGCGTCAGCTTGAGGGAGCTCACGATGAACATAAGTAGGGTTGGAGGCATCTCAGCATGGAGCAGCCGGTGGAGACAGAGCCCGTCTCAGGTGGGAGCTCGGCCCCCTGCCCACCTCGCCCCTTGGCCAGGGACTCCCCGTTGAAGTTGTGGTGAAGAGCTGGCAAATCTAGGGGCCAGAGATGCTAGGATACAGCACCACGGGCAAGCAGCTGGAGCCAGGAGGACCCGAGCTGGAATCCCTAACCCCAGGGAGCCCTCCTCAGAGGAGGAGGGAGGTTGGGGCCTTGTCAGCAGACACCAGCATGGTGACCAGAGGATGATAGCACAGGTAGTCACAGACCCGCCGGGTGCTGGCACCTCTTTGGGTAGTTGGGTAGGAACAGAGCAAAGAATAACACGGTCATTGCCTTCAGGAAGCTTAATAAATCATCACCATCACTGTCTACTATGCATTCAGCACTCAAGGTGTGGCAGTTGAGCTGACTGTTTCACACGCTGTCCCCTAATGCTTTCACCAACCCTGTGTTGTCGCCCCTGTCGAGGACACTGAGCCTCAGCAAGGTTGAGATGTGCCCAAGTCTAGTAGGTACAGAGCTGAATTCACAGCCGGGTCTGAGTCTCGTGGATTCTGGGCTCTTCATTCATCCAGCGTGTTTGCCGGGCCTGCCAGGCCTGGCTGTGGCCCCAGGCAGGGGAAGGGATGAACAGGTGAAGAAGGCAGGGTCACTACCCCAAGCTGCTCACACTTCAAGTCAGGAAACGGGCGGGTAAATAACGGCAGAGGCAGAGAATTTACCGAGTGTGTGTCTGAAGGAGGTGTGTTGATAGCGTGGTGTGAGAGGCCCGGCCCGGGGAGCAAGGAAAGGAGGGGGGCGTGGCCCAGGAGCCTGAGTGGACAGAACGGGCTTTGTTCCACTGGCGGGGCCAGGGCAGGCCTGGGGATGCGGCAGTCCTGGCAATAGTGTGAGGCATCAGAACCCAGGTCCTGGGTACTGCTCTGCCGTTTACTTGCAATCACTGCCCATCTCTGGGCCTCAGTTACTCGTGATCTCTGAGGGGCCTTCCAGCTCTCCAACCCTGGAATTCTCTGAGTTTGGAAAAGTATGAGAAGAGGCTGAGAGTTGTCCAAAGGCCACCACCATAGGTTCAAATCAAGAGGGGAGTTCAGCCGAAGGAGGGAGGAAGGTGGGGACAACTTGCCGATACCTCTGTGCCAGAGGGAACTTGATTTCTCTGGGTAAAGTAGAAGTCAGGTGGTTTTTGAGGGGGGGGATGATGTAGCCAAAGCTGTTTTAGAGGTTCTCCTAGCAGGGTCTGGAGTGTCGCAGTGGGGAGACCTGCCTGGGGCCTGTTAGGGCCACACCACTGAATCTTTTGACCTCACGGGCCATCTGTAAACTTTCCTTAGAGTCACAGTGGGCCCAACAAGGAGTAACTCATGGCCCTTGCCCAGAGGACCTTATGCTATATCCCCCTAACCAGGGGTGGGTACAGTTACTAAGCCTTTGTCCTGCTGCCCTTGTGTTCTATAACCTGGCTGGTCAGCAGATGCCTTTTATCTGCAGGTCAGGGTTTGGAAAGTAAGTGATGTATCCTGGGCCAGAGATCCTCCCTGGCCTTCCATGGTGAATACCTGTCTGCCTTTCCCTTTCTCCTGAGGGTAGATCACAGGGTCCCAGAGGGAGGGAGGGAGGCAGAGTCAGTACTACACAGAAAAGAAAACTGAGGCTCCAGGAAAGAAAGAAAACTGTGAAGGTCACACAGTTAGTAGCAGATCCAGAACCAGAGTCCTGATCTCCTGGGTCTAAGGCAGGTACTAGTGATCTTGATATGAGTTGTTCTCCTGTCCCCGTTGCAGATTTGTAAGCCCCATGAGGACAGGGGCCCTGGGATCTCCCACCCTGACCCCAACATACACCTCACAGGGCCTAGCACACTGCCTTGCACTTAGCAATTTTGTGCTGTGGTTGATTAATTCTGTCTGCAGTGGCTATGGGTATTATAGGTAGAATGAAAAGGTACAGTGTTTCCATTATGTGGCTTCTACCACTTGGGGCCTCATTTCTCTACTGGGGCATTAGTCTTCTCAGTCTAATCTTCACAGCCATCCTCTCTGAGCCTGATAGGACCATCATTAGCACGCCAGGTTCACAGCTGAAGGAACTGGTCCAGGTAAAGTGACTTGCCCTGTTCACACTGCAAGTTGGTGTCCAAGGCCTTCTCACTCTCTAAGAAGGCCTTTCCTCTCCATGGAGCTGAGGCTAGTGGGTTTTGTGAAGAGGAACTCACATTACTCATTCCCTTCCCAGACCCAGCAGCCCTGTTGAGAAACAGCATAGTGGTAGTGTGGCTTCCTAGGAAAGAACTGCTTTCCAGCAGGGCAGTGGTAAGGGCTTTGTCATGTTTGATACATATTTGCTGGAGGAAGGAGTAAGAGAGATGGGGTCAGGCCCACCCACTTATCCCCACCCCACCTGCTCCCATCTGTGGAGGGAGGCAGGGGGTCCCCACTGCACCCTTCGCCTGTGCTGGGAACCCTGCCTTACCCCCACCGTTATGTTTCATCCTCGTGACAGGCCTGTGAGATGGCTCTTAACATCTCTGTTTTACAGATGAGGAGACTGAGGCTCAGATTGTGGCTAGCCAAGATCAGAGAAAGCAGAGATGGCCATGAGGCAGTCCTATTAGGAAGCTTCGTTACTCAGTGTGTTTTATAGATATTTTTTACTATAAGAGAGGAAATAAGAGGAGAAAAGGAGATTAAGACATGGTTAAACCACTCAAAGTTCTACCATCTAAAGAAAGACCACTACTGGGTTGACATATTTTCTTCTAGACTTTCTAAAATTAACGATTTACATTGTGTTTTTTTTAATGCATAGTTATACTTTTCTTGGCATGCAATTTCTCCTTATGATCTCTAGCATTATGGCATCAGCCCCCTCCATGAGGTTGCAGACTCTTCTGAGCATTATTTTTATTGACTCCATAAGATCCCTGGGAGATTCCACAGGCATCTTGAGTGGCTGGAAAGCTTGGTCCTGGAGTCAGGAGTCAGAGCCTGAGCCTCGGCTGCCATCACCTCACTGAGGACCCAGGGACAAGTTACTGCATGCTCTCTGGGCCGCAGCTTCCTCATCACTAAAGTGAGGGATTGCATGCACTGCTCTGCAGCCCTCACAGCTCAAACGAGCAAAGGTCTTTTGGAAATTATCAGGGGCTGTGCCCCCGGCAGGGGATTTCCTTATCTTCCCTCAGTTTCCTCCTGGGAAAGTTCTGCCCTCCCCTTGGCTCCTGGATCTTTTGCTCCAAGCAGCAATGCCAGACCCCAGCATCTCTTGAGACACTCACATGAAGACACCCCTCCTTATGTTACCCCAAAGGGGACATTGCCTCTAAGCAGAACAGGGGCACTGACCCTCAAAGACCACTAGCCCACACCTCTGCCTCTGCCCCCTTCTGGGTCCAAACTTGTGAGGCATCTCAGAGATTTCTTCCTTCTCTTCTCCCAACAGCCTTGGATGGCCCTGAGAGGCCTCTGAGCTCTGCTGTGACCTCAGGAAAGCCCCAGAGCCACTGAGTATTAGAAAGCTTGGTACCTGCCTGTCCCAGCAGCCGAAGGCAGCTGGAGCGTGGCCCTAGGACTCTGGATGCTTAGCCCTTGTTTCCCCAGCAACACACAGAAGTACACGTTCCACTTGAACCAAGCCAGTTACGAGGTTACAAAGGCCTGAGTTCACCTCCTGGCTCTGCTACCTTCCTCTTGCCATCCTCGGTTTCCTCCACTGTAACATGGACATAAGGCTGCTTACCTCCTGGAGTGACGGGATGGCATAAGGGACCATGTGTCAAGCACTTAGTGAGGACAGGCTCTGTCACTGTCAGCACTTTCCACTTAACATCCAGGCCTAGCACAGAACAGGGGCCCAGAGAGAGGTGTCCACTGTGCAGGGCTGAGCAGAGACCTTGTCCACGGTGCCCTGGGAGCATCACAAGCACAGTTACCCAGGCGGGTCTCAATCTACACTCCTGCTCCCTCTGTATCAGCTGTCACCACCATTGCCTCCGTGACTCAGTGGTGACCACTCAGCACGTGTGCACAGCTCTTCACAGTTTGCATTGCACTACAGTGAGAGTTGCGTCCACGTATGTGAGGAGGGCAGGAAATACTGCCTTGTGGTACAGAGGATGAAGCCGAGGCCTGAGAGGCCCCCTCTCTAGGGGGGGAGGGGGAGAGTTGGGCTGTGTTACATAAGCAGGAGCTCAAGAGCGGCCATTTGGCACTTAAGAGGCGCATTGTATAATCACCTTTGGGAACCAAAGGGTAATCCTAGGGCCTTTTTGTGCGTCTTCGGTGTTTGTTTAAACCCCAGGAAGGGTGGGTGTGGGCAGATCAGCTTAGCAGGGAAGAGGAGGCCCTAGGTGGTAATGAACCTCTGCGGTGAGAAGCTCACCAGGGGAACAAAGGGGGTGTGAGGTAACTTAATATGTTCCTTTCAGTTCCAGACACTGGAACACTCTGTCCTGCCTCAATTGGGACCAAGCCCAGGATGCACCTGGGCAGGGTTTAATCCTCAAATTGGACTCTACAGCAGAAAGGGGCGGGAGAGGAGGGGCCCACATAGGGGGGCAGGGGAGAATAGCGCCCCTTCTCCCTGCCTGTGCTCCGAGCCCAAGTGCAGATCAAGTGGCTGCCCCTTTAAAGTTTCATGTAGGGCTAGTAATGCTATCCTGTTGCTCCCTCCACGGCCACCCCCAGTCCACAAGGTTCGCAGGTCCCTGGTCCACCCCTCCCTGAAGACCAGGGGGAGGAACAGGTGGGGGGAAGATGGGGCCGGGGGGCAAGGGTGCAGAGCTGAAGAGCCTGCTAGAGTGAGGCTTAGTGCCTTCTACCTCCCGGGCTGAGTGGCTGCTGTGCAGAGGGAGCGTGTAGCCACAGCCTGCCCAGTTAGAGGCTTTCACTGCTCAACCCTCTCTCTCATCCTCCTGCGAGCACCACTGTCCGAGGGGCTACAGACGTGCCTGGGTATGAGGACTGAAGGTGACAGTGTGCATGTAGTGCCCGGCGTCAGTGGCAGCTGCTGTTACAATTGTCCAGGGAGAGAAACTGAAGCCAGGGGAGAGGCAGTGGCTTGCATCATAGCCTGTGTCGGTGGGAAGAGCCCCTCTTGGACCCCATCTCTCCTGCCAGTCCTGCTGGAGGCAGCAGATGAAAATAGAGGAATTGGGACTGAGCGGGCCTGGGTTCTAATCCTGCCCTGCTTTTTACTGGTTTGGGGTAAAACCCTTTTCCTCTCTGAGCCCCTATCTCTTTATTTGTATAATGGGGGAACCAGCCCAGCTGCCTGCCCTAGGTTAAAGGAAGGGCCAAAGAGGGGTAACAGCCCTAACAGCTGGGGGTGAGGACAGGGCAAGGGGGAAGGGGCTTGGCACAGGGTCCCCAACTGGAATGAAGGATCCTGCCTCTGGAGGCCAGGCCAGGTGAGAGGGCTTAGGACTGTGGACCCAACCACTGTTACCCACAAAAGGAGTGAGGTGGGGACAGTCATTGCAGACCCCCCTTGCAAGAAGAGGCCTCTGTCTGGGAAGCTGGAGTGCGGGTCTCAGGCATGGCTCAGCCACTGCCAAACCAGGACAGTGAGCCATGCTTCCTATGTATGCCATTGGGTTCCACTCCCACTTACTTGTGACCGTGCATGACTTTCTGAACCTCTCTAAGTTTCAGTTCCCTCTTCGTGAAGTGGTGACAGCATTGCTGCCTTGCAATTTTTGTGGTTGTGAGGGTTAAGTGGGACCGTGCAGGGAGGCAGCTAGCACAGCACCCAGCACATAGCACCCAGCATGTAGCATATGCTCAGCAGAGGTAAATGGAGTACCCTAGCCCCTAAGCTGTAGACCCATCCTGTCCAGTGCATTTCCAACTGGGTTCCTTAACATCCAAGGAAGGCTCCGGGCCCTCACCTTCACTTCAACCAGAACAGGCCCACTTTCACCCTCTAATCTTATTTAAGGAAGGGTTCTCCGGCTTCCAGCCATCTGGCCTAAGCCCCTTTACCATACAGATGGGGAGACTAAGGCCAGAGAGGAATAGGGACTAGAAATTATATAAGGAGGGTTATTCAGGGAAAGCGTCTGGGGGCACTAAGGGGCTGGTGGCAATTTGCAGCTGTGCCTACACACATCAGCTGGCATCTTACGGGGTGGCTTAGAACCATCTGGTATGGGGCGCCTGGCGCCAGCCCTCACCCGTGGCTCTCTTTCTAGCCCACACCATGCTGTGGCCCCTGTTGCTGTTGCTGGCCGCCGGTGAGGCCCAGACCACCCGGCCCTGCTTCCCTGGATGCCAGTGTGAGGTGGAGACCTTTGGCCTCTTCGGCAGCTTCAGCCTGACGCGAGTGGATTGCAGCGGCCTGGGCCCTCACATCGTGCCCGTGCCCATCCCCCTGGACACAGCCCACCTGGACCTGTCCTCCAACCGGCTGGAGACGGTGAACGAGTCCGTGCTGGCAGGCCCGGGCTACACCACGCTGGCCGGCCTGGATCTCAGCCACAACCTGCTCACCAGGTTCTCGCCCACGGCCTTCTCCCGCCTTCGCTACCTGGAGTCACTTGACCTCAGCCACAATGGCCTGGCCGCCCTGCCCGCCGAGAGCTTCACCAGCTCGCCCCTGAGCGACGTGAACCTGAGCCACAACCGGCTCCGCGAGATCTCCGTGTCCGCCTTCGCCACCCACAGCCAGGGCAGGGTGCTGCACGTGGACCTCTCACACAACCTTCTCCACAGCCTCGTGCCCCACCCCGCGCGGGCCAGCCTGCCGGTGCCCACCATTCAGAGCCTGAACCTGGCCTGGAACCGGCTCCACACCGTGCCCGACCTCCGGGACTTGCCCCTGCGCTACCTGAGCTTGGACGGGAACCCACTGGCGGCCATCGGCCCAGGGGCCTTCGAGGGGCTGGCGGGCCTTACACACCTGTCGCTGGGCAGCCTGCAGCGTCTCCCCCAGCTGGTGCCCTATGGCTTCCGTGAGCTGCAGGGCCTGCAGGTCCTGGATTTGTCAAGCAACCCCAAACTCAAGTGGGCAGGACCCGAGGTGTTCTCAGGCCTGGGCTCCCTGCAGGAGCTGGACCTGTCAGGCACGGGCCTGGTGCCCCTGCCCGAGAAGATGCTCCTCCACCTCCCGGCGCTGCAGAGCGTCAGCGTGGGCCAGGGCGTGCAGTGCCGTCGCCTGGTGCGGGAGGGCGCCTACCCCAGGCAGCCTGGCTCCGCCCCCAAGGTGGCCCTGCACTGCATAGACACCCAGGAATTAGCTGCTGGGGGCTCTGATACCTTGTGACGAATGGTGTGGCCTGGGGCCACGTAACAGACTTCACCCTGGGCTCCCTCGGGTCCTGGGTAGTTTATATTTTAACGTGCCAATGCCAGCAGGGACTCTGTAGGCCTATGTGGCAGCATCATTGAAAGAGAGGCTTTGGACCTGGGACCCACACCCAGGAGCAAGGTTTTGTCCGTTTGTCTATGTTGCTCTCCAGACCATAAGCTGAGGGTCTTCGATGCCAAACCAGACAGCAGTCCCCTGCTGTCCTTCCCTACTTGTCCCCAAAGTGCCTTCCCTGAGGCCTGGACCAACCTGACCCACGACAGGAGGAGGGCGGGCGGGGGTAGTGCTGCGGGGCAGAGGTCCAGCCACTCAGGCATGGGTTTCTTTTACGACACCGCCCTCTCTTTGCTCTGGGCACGAAGGGCTGCTTCATCCTTTTTTCTTCCCCTACAACTCTGGATAGAACTTTATAGAAAGGACTGGAGAAAAATCTCTAGTCCACCTCCTCATGTGCCAGATGGGGAAACTCAGGCCGAGGGAAGGAAAAATGCTATTCGGAGGTCCTACAGTGGCAGAAGCGTGAATGGACCCAATGTCCGGCCTCCCAGCAGGGCCCCTTTGCACTTTTCTCCCCTCTCCCCTTTCTGGGCTCCCCCTTGCTTCCAAGACTCACATCCTGCCATTTGTGCCCTTTCCCTGTCATCCCCAGGAGGAGAGACCAGGGCCTCGGGGGTGGCACTCTGGGCCCGGTAACCGGCTGTGGCACAGGCTAAGTCACTTCACCTCGAGGCCTCTAGAAGCCTCAGGAATACCAGTCCCAGCCCTGCCAGTTTCCCACTCTGCGGGGGGTGGGGGTCCCCCAGCATCAAGAATGGAAGTGCGCCCATTGACCCCTAAGGTACTGCCTCTAGATGCAGTCCTGGAGCCCCTCCAGGCCCTGAGCTCCCGAGCTCCCTCAGACCCCACTGGCCCTATGCCCGACAGCCCAGCTCATCCTACTGAGAATGCAGTGAAGGAGGTAGGGGAGACCCCACCCATGTTTATGCTCCACCACCAGGGTGGCATCTCAGCTTCCCAGCCCTGGGCTCTCTCCTTAGCATGGGGTTAATAAAAGTTGTTGCCTTTTTAATGGACTGTCACTTTCAACCCAACCCCACCCACAACCCCCCACGCCCCCCATCCCCCACCCCATCCAGATCCCTGCTGGCAGGGGATGGAAACATGCCATTTGTAAAAGAAGAAAGACATTGCATTTGTTCGCTTTTGTAATATTGTGTCCTGGGGATGGGTTGGGGGAGGAGGCGTTGGGTGAAAGCCAGCCATACTTGGCCATGTGGGCGTCGGGGGGGGGGGGGGGGGGGGTGGCCCCCACCGATGGGCCCCCTGCCAGCGTCCCAGTCCGTCCTTAACCACCTGGGGGACTTTTAGAACCTGCTCGCTGGCAGCCTCAGAGGGAGCTGGCTTCCCGAAGAGTCTCCAGCCTCGTGGCAACGCTGCTACGTGCCAGGAGGTGGCGGGGCCGTGGGGGGGGTGTCCCCTGGCTGATGGGGAGCCCTGGGCTGCGAGCGCTGCGTGTGGCGGGGGGGGGGGGGGGGGGGGGGGGGGGCTGGTCCCACAGGGACGCCCACAGGGCAGTAAGAGCTCTGTCCTCCCCCACCAGCCCTACCCAACACCTGGTCCTTGGTTTAATAAACACTATAAAGAGGCCCTCTTCCCATCATTTGACCAGCATCCACTGACATTCCCTAGACTGGGCCCTGGGGCCACGAGGATGAATTGAGAAAAGATTGTTCTCTCTGAAAAGCCCAATAACCTCCCAGGATTAGGGGAGTGAGGTGATGTGAGGGAGGGAGTTCCTCGGGGGTGGGTGGCACCTTTCACTGCAGCTAACACTGCCTGCCTTCCTCATTTCCCCTCTCCCTGATGCCCCAACTCCACGAACTTGTCAGGCCCTGCGTGCCTCTGCCTTTGCTCAGGCTGTTACTCTGGGACCTGGCCCTTGCCCCCATCCCTGCCTCTCAACTCCTTCCCAGCCTAACAGACCCAGTTCCCACGTCACCTCCTTAGAAGCTTTCCTGAGGTCCCCGTCCACCTCCCTCTGCTGAGCTCTGACAGTACTGTGTTCCTTTTTGGCATCTGACTGCTGTGGTATCCTAACTCCTGTTTGCACACTTCCAGTGACAGGGATCCCACTTCCAGCTCATCTGAATGGCTCTGCTGTCAGCAAGTTCTTCCTTCTAACTAGCCAAGAACTGCAGGAATATCCATCACCATCACTACCACCAAGTTTTTCCTGCTGTCTACACTGTGCCCTGAGACTCATGTTCCTGGGGTGGGAGCGGGAAGGACACATGGAGGACACCTAACTATAACAGCAGTACAGGGACCTGTGAGAGCCCTGTGGTGGGATTAGGAAGGCTCCCTGGAGGAGGCTCATCCATGGAGTTGAGAAGGACAAGTGGACCTGGACAGAGGTGGCTGGCACTTGAGAGGGGTCATGGGTGAACAACGGCACAGATCCCAGGACATTCAGGCCATGGGTAGGGTTGGGGTGCTTGCCCATCATGTATGTGGCTTAGGCCCCCCCAGGGCTTGGGCTCCCTGAGCCAGAGGCTGGCCCCTGCCAATATGGGAAGGATCTGAAGTATGGAGGACAGGGGAGGGTCAGAGTGAGACCCCAGCCTTCACAGTCCTCAGATTGGTACTCCATCCTCCCACATGCCTTGGGACAAGAGAGGCCTCAAATACAGGGGTGAGGGAGAGATCCCTGGGACTTTCACCCAGTGGGGCTTTAAAGCCCCACTTGAAGAAGGCGTCCTTGGGGAGGGCCGTGGAACATAGGGGTCTTAAGTTTTAGTGGCGCTGAAAGCAGGGGAAGGGAGGCCAGGACTACTGCTGTTCACCTCCGCCCTGAGCTGCAGCTTCCACATCTGCAAAACGGGGCAGGGGTGAAGCTCCAGCGGGAGGGTGGGCAGACGCCGCCACGCCGTGCGGGCTTCTCCTTCCTGGTGGGAGCATCACCTCGCACACCCCCAGCCCCTGCGTGCTGTAGAGAAAGCAGAAGCCCCGCGGGGCAGCTGGCCCGCGGCCCCTCCGGAGGTTCTCGGCCCGCAGCGCCACCTCGTGCTCACGCATGGCCAGACACCGCAGATCAGAGAGGTCGCGGAGCCCCGGGCAAAGTGGACCTGCGCAGTTTGCGGAGCCAGCCCCTCTTTCCCCTCGCCGACCGCCTTCATCCGGCCACCCTCCGCCTTCCTGGAATCCCGGGACCGAGAATGAGGTCATTGGAATCTTACAGAATTACAGAGGTTAGTGCAAAGATTCCGTTTTGGAGTTCCCAGAAAAGAGTTAAAATCCTGGTCCATCACGAGCCGGTTGTGTGACTTTGGCCAAGTCACTTGACTTCTCTAAGCCTGGAAAAGGGGATGAAAATATCTCCCTGCACAGGATTGTACGAAGGAAGTAACATTTGTAAAGAATCAAGTGCAGTGCCTGGCACAAAATAGACACTCCAGAAATGCTTGTTTCCTCCCTCATGCAACCACTGAATTATGAATCAGATTACAGAAACGTGTAGTCTTAGACTCATATTTTGATAACGGATGCAGAACCGAAGGATTTTGTAAAGCTTTAGGATGGTAAAATTGAGGAACTATAGTATAGTTTTCAGGATCTTTGCCCTGTGTACCTAACACGGAATAGGCCTTCAACACACATGTCAGTTGAGTTTTAGAGATGGGGAAACATTGGAGTACAGTTTGCCGTCATAGCACAGGCTGGGTCACAAACATTTCACTGCACTTCATCAATAATTCAGTTGCCGTTTACTGGGCACATGTCCTTGGACTTGGTGTACATGCTATCATTTCCTCTCCACAACTGCCCTGGATGTTATTGTCGCCGTACAGCTGAGGAAAGCAGCCGGTGCCTGGCTTCATCTGTCATATGACAAGTCTCTCATTCCTGAATGTCCTACCTCAGTGACCGGGCCAGCTGTGCAGATCACATGTGTCAGAGAGGGCAGAGGTGCTCTAAGAAACCCAAAACACTAGGACTCCATTTATTTTTCTGTTGGAAAAAAAAAAAAGGGTGGGGTGGGGTCACGCAGCTCTAAGTATCTCCAATCAGACCATGGATTCTAGATCCTAGAGCATGAAAAGCCAAAGATAAAATCCTTCCCCTCCTGGCCCCATTTCACAGATGGGAAGATGGAGGCCCAGAGAGGAGCAGCCCAAGATCACATGGCAGGTGACGTGGCCACATGGCCAGGATTCTGTGCTTCAGATCTGGCTATATAATTGGTGGAACCTAGGGTAAAATGAAAATGTGGGGTCTTTTGTTCAAAATTATTAAGAATTTCAAGATGGCAAGAGCAGAGCCTTAAACCAAGCATGGGACCCTTCTAAGGTCCCACTGCCCATGAAGCCAGCCCTGCTGTGCTTTAATCGTACCATTACAGAGAAGGGAGAGGCAAACGCCCTGTGTTGGTCAATATGGCAAAAGAGCATCTGTATGGATTTGTATGAAACCCAAACCCTCTGTAGCTCAGGGAGCTGATTAGACTCTTTCAAATCCAGTAGTTTCCCTCCATGGGTGTTATACCACCCCCTGATTTCCCCAAATTGTCATGGCCAAGGGGCCAAAGGGTTGCCCTCTTGGAGAGAGAGGGCAGATGGCAATGGAGATACTAACACCTACCAACTGCCTCCAAACCAGCTCATAGGATGTTTCTCTGGACAGGACTGCCAGGCATGTGGGGGGCAGAGGCCTACCTCTACTCGTACCTAATGTCCACCAAGACAGTAGAGGTCATTGTAGCCTAAAAGGGCTTGCCCACTGATGCTCAATGTTCTGTGTGGGTTAATTTGACCAAGGAACAAATGTCCACTGATACCTAATATTTATCAGTACCTAATGTCCATCAATGACAGCCCTCACCAATGGCTGATATCCACAAAGGGAAAATGTCCAGTGGTGGCAGCGTCCACTACTGCCCAACACACACCAGTGCCAGT